GTTCAGCGGTCCAGCTCTTGCAACTCGTCGAGGCAAACCCGAGCCACCACAAAAAAAGAATTCGGATGAATATAAATTAAGACAACACAAAATAAATAAAATAAATTAAAATAAATATAAATGTAATCTTAAAAACTGAAGAAATTCAAATCCTTAAGGAAATAATTCACCCAATATGTCGAAAATTCACGTTTCTGAGCAGCTGACCTGTACAACAGCCGTGGTAGATGTGTATTTACACCAATGTATATATGCATATATATATATATATATATATATATATATGAGTATATGAATATGTATATGAATCTATTTGCTTGTATATTTATATATATGGGGATATGTGCGCATAAACACCACAATAGCGATGAATAAATGTGTATTGACATGGAGGCAATATGTATGCATTTATACTTGCCTAGACAACTACATATATATATAAATATATACATATATATATATATATATATATATATATATACTGATACGTATAAATTGAAACAAATGAAGCTGAAAACAGAATATGCATGGACAGCTATGTCGTGAAGCTGCATTTCCATTTCATCTTTTGCCGTCTTGGCCTCGCGAACAGAGCAGAGGCGAACACTACAGTGAGAACACAAGTAAATAAAATAAATAAAATAAAAAAACAAAATAAATGAAATAAAACATCAAGCTGGTAAGCAACAGAGTGACTCAAGAGGAGCTGGAGAGCCACCGCGCGGATGTGTGGTTATTTCCTTCACTGAATTTGTTTTCATCTTCTCTCTACAACAAGAACCAACATAAAGATTGCATGCATGCACTCATGCATGCAGCCCCGGGGATTCTGCTTTCTAGGGGCCGTTTCGTTTACCTTTACTGCCGCTTTCTCTGTTCAGTTTGTTTTTGTTGCTGCATAATATATAATACATCAACCAGAGGCTACATCTCCCATTGATAACCCCAAAGTTATTTGTACAAATACAAATATTAACGTAGAGGAAAACAAACGCGAGAAGGAAAAAGGGAGAATTAATATATGGCTTTTACAGTTTGGGGTGTATAGACAGATACACAAGCTTCTGTCTCTCTATCACTGCGCTTTTTCCTAAGTTCCGCTCTGCACTGCCACTAAAAAGCTTAATTAAAAACACAGCAATCAACCCAAACGTTATACAGATGCTGCTCCTTAGCCCCATACACGAACCCCACCACCAACCCCCGCATGCATATCTCCTAGATAAGCCAAAGATAATACGAAAAAGAAATTGTTATGGGGCAGCAAGAAAGAGCTGAAACCCGGCAGTTTAACAACAACACATTTCAGGTGTACAGACACCTCAGCAGCACCGCTGCTATTTGCATCCCACCAAAGATCTTCATATCTTTTCTAGTTTCTCAGAACATTAAAACAAATTATAATTAACGGGCAGCCTCAGTCAGCACAAGGGCCTCCTGACGACGGAAACCTTCCCTGCTGCTGCTGCTGCTGCTGCTGCTGTCGTTCTTGCTGCTGTTGCTGCTGCTGGTGCTGCTGCTGCTGCTGCAGGGAAATTATTTCGCTTGATACGGCTGAGAGAGTCTTCATGAGGAACCCCGAAAGCTTCGTCTGGGCAATATGCTGCTGCAGAGGTGGAGACAGCAGCAGCGCAGCTGGCTGCTCTGCGCTGTATGTACACCCCGCCGA